TCTTCCAATTTCTGTCCTCTTTGGAGATGGGGCTTGCTCCTGAGTTAACTGTGACATTTTTTAGCTTGCTTACCTAACTGAGCTCACTTTTGGGGCCAGAGGGCTCCCTTAGGCAGATAGCCCTGTGAGATGTACAGAAACTATTTGCAGGTAACCTCTGGCTACAGCCAAGGGTAAATGGGTGGGCCACTGGCTGCATCTAAGATAGGGATAGACTTAAGCTCCAGGCTGGCCAGGTGTCGGCCGTAAGATTAATTTTGTTGATCACATCACCCAAGTCAATCAAATATTTCCCTGAGATTTGATACATTGATGCTTTTTCTGGGATCCATAAATGTGATACAGGCTGGAACTGTTTATGAATTTTTTTCCCTGGCTTCTTGGAAAAAAAATATCAGAAGTGGACAAATCAGTCTGGATATTGGGTCATCCCTCAGTAGCCATACGGTTTCAGGAACCCCACAGATCCCAAAATCTGAGGATGCCCAAGTCCCTAGCATGAAATGGCATAGAATTTAGATTTCACCTGTGCACACCCTTCCATATACTTTAAACCATCTCTAGATTGCTTGTAAAACCAAATACACTGTAAATGCTATATAAATAGTTGTTATACTGTATTGTTTAGGAAATACAAGAGAAAAAGTCTGTATCTGTTCACTATAGACATAACCAGCAGCTGTCTGGTACACATTTTTATTGGAAGTTGATAAATCTGTGGATGCACAACCCACAGATACAGAGGGTTGACTGTATTGGTGTGATGTTCAAGGGAGAGGTCTGGACCAAACTTAGTAGTTTGGAAATCCTTTGAACAATATATAAAAAATAGAAGGAACAAAAAGCCATATAGAGGGGTCAACAGAAAGTTATCCATTAGCCTCATCTGCAGAAAACTGTCTTCAAGTAAAAAGTGGAGGTAAAGCAGGACTTAAGAGCAACCACTTTGGAGAACGTGACTTGTCATCACCAGATCCTTCCTTGTGTGTGTGCCATAATAGAAAGCGAACTTCATTCAGTGACCCTGGGACTCCATCCATACCTACAGAGGCCCCAACAGGTAGACATGTTGTCAAGGGTTATAGATTTTACTAGTTTCTCCCTTGACACGGACTTTGGCCATTCTTTTCATACTCCAGAAGCCCCATTTACTCACCTCATGGTTAAACAAACCTGTACATGATAAAAATTTCAGTTAAGCACATAGACACACACATATGAATAACATGTAAAAATCTGAATAAAGGCCATTGTTCTGTTAATAGCATTATAGCAATGTCAATGTCCTGATTTTTATAATTATCCTATGGTGATGGACAATGCTATCATTGAGACAGGATGGGTAACAGGCACATAGAAACTTTCTGAGCTACTTTTGCAATCACTGCAAAAAACTTCAAAATAAAAGTTTTAAGTAAATCAGATGGAAGAAATCCTTTCAGGACCAGCCATCTATTTAAGCTCTAAAACGTTTACTTAATAGTTAAAATTAAGAAGGCTGACAAAACCAAGTGCTGGCTAGGATATGGCACAATAGGAATTCTCATAAACTGCTGGGACTGTGTAAATTCATAGTCACTTTGGAAAGATGACTTGGTAATATCTACTGATGTTGAATGCATGCATACCACATAAAGCAGCAATCCTATTCCTAAATGTATTCACATTTTTATAAAAGTCAAAACCATAAAAACTAAATACAGAGCAGGAAGTGGTTATCTGGGAGGAAAAGAGGGACTAATGTCTGGGAGAAAGTATGAGGGGGCTTCTGCAGATGCTAGCAATCTTCTCTTCTTGACCTTGATGATTACGGTGAGTATTCATTTTGTAATAATAGAGCTATATATCTGAAAAGTGTACTATTCTGCTTGCCTGTTATACTTCAAAAGAAAAACAGGGCCTCCCTGATGGTGCAAGGGGTTAAGATGCAACCTATGAAGCTATCCACAGCCACTGCAGCATGAGTTCGATCCCCAGCTGGCCAGGGAGCTACCCACATGGCGTAGCAGACCTCTCCTGACTCACCCGCTGCTCCCCTTAGCATCGTATTTCAGTCAATCCACCTGTTCTGTTCCCCACTCTGTCTCTGGTGATCCTCTCACTCCCCACACCTCCAGCCTGTACCCCAGTTCTTGTATGCACAAATAAATAAATCTTAAAAAAGAAAGAGAACAAGAAATGTAGAATCTACATAAGTCTAGCAATATAAAAAGATGACCAGTTATCAGGTTGGATGGGGCTACAGTTTCCGTCTCAAAGGTGGATGGAAAACTGATGGGGGGGGTGCTGGGGGGGGGAGAAAGAAGGAAGGGAAAAAGTGTGAAGGAAGGAATTGCCTCCTAAGATATAAGAAAAAAATTTGCCTGACTTCTTTCTGCCTGTCCTAAAGCTTGTTCAACTTGTCTTATCGTCTGGGTATTCTAGAGAGCTAGTCTCCCAGGTATTCCAGTTTTCCATTGGTAACATTATTTATAGCTGATTTACAATGCATATCTTCCCACCAGGCTATACCACCTTTTTGTATTTATCTCAACATCCTAAATTATCTATAGAAAGTCTACTATTTCATTATGAAAAATAATTTTACAAAATAAATGCATAATGAGCATTATATTCAATCTTTTGCCTCATTAAAAGTTCTCTAAGGATGTTGATGACATATTTACACAGTTGTGATCAATATCCAGTATACTTTTTTTTTTTTTTTAAGATTTATTTATTTACACAAGCACTGGGTACAGTCAGAAGCGCGGGAGGGTGAGAGAATTCACCAGAGCCAGAGCGGGGAGCAGAACAGGCAGACGGACGAAGTACACTGCTGAGGTGAGCAGCAGGCGTGTCAGGAGAGGTCTGCAAGCCATGTGGGAACCTCGCAGGTGAGCCGGGGATCGAACTGGTGCTGCAGAGGCTGCAGGCAGCTTTGCAGCCCAGCACTCAACCGCTGTGCCAGCGGGAAGGCCCAATATCCAGTATACTTTTATTTTCACTTATCTTTACTTTCACATATTTTCACTTTGTCATAGTAGGTAGCTACAAGACATTCCATCTTAATTATCTATATTGAGCCTTTTGGATTTAATTGATTCTAAAGTTCACAGGAAGCATAATTCCTCTGTATCCATCTCTGAAACTTCTGCTTCTTCTTCAAAGTTACATCAGTTGTGTCAAAACAGGGTTCATGAAGTGGCAGGTTACAATATGTGGCTCCCAAATAATTTCTTTCCAAGTTACATACATTGACTTTTAATGCCTTGTTTCGTATTATGTTCTTGATTTGTATAGGACCCATTTTGTTGTCATTATATTTCAATTATTTCATAGCTCAGTGTCTGAAAGAAAGTGAAAATCTGATCATCTGTGAACTACAGGCTAGAATTCACAGTGGAAAGCAAAATACATTCTATGCCTCGTTCTTTTTTTCAGTACAATTACAGGAAAGGATACAGAGGATAAAGAAGTAGGCCCACCTTTCTTCAAATTTTAACTTCACCTTCTTCCTGTGAATCTAGTCTCCCTCAAGCAAAGGCAAGGATACTGCCCCTGGCTTCCCCTCCTAGTGGTTCTCGCATCATCTGGATTAGATTCCTTTTTCCTGTCGTCCAGCAGTTTTGCCTTGCCGGTTCAAACCTAGACTCAACATTTTAAAAGTATGGTAATGCAAATTTTTGGTATTTCTTTACTATTTATGTTGCAAATAGATGTGATTGTGTTTTGGAGCCTTAATAGTGTCGGATGATGAGATCTAGCAACGCGTCTAGACTTTCAAATAGCGCCTTATGCAATTCCCTCCTAAAAGTAATAAAAGCCTTTTTTAATAGATGACGCAATTCCTGGAACGAAATCTCTATTTAATAAAACAGACCTGTAAAAGTCAACATCTTGGTGCCAATTGCACGCACGGTCACATTCTCGTTACCAAACGCAAGCCCACCAGAGGGCGCTCGTTCCAAGTCTATCCAGCTCTCTCCATCAGCGCCTCAAAATCCAAGTTAAACTTGACTTTCACATTCAGTTAAGTCTTTCACATTTAATCCACAAATATTTACTGAGAATTTACTGTGCCGCCAGGCGCAGGGCTGGTTCACAAGATACAGTAGGAGTTAGGCACGATTCCTACTAGCAGACGCTTAAAAGCATAGCAAAGACTGAAAGCAAACAACCGGCTACCATAAAGTGGGTAAGTGAAGAGTTTCTAGGTCGGTGGCGTTTGCTGTTTAAACACTGGCTCCAGGCCCTTGAAGCCGGAAACATTTCATTAAGAGCTCCCGGGCTGTTTCCTTTCCGTTGCCCAGCAACGCTCTCTGCCCTCAAGGTATTTTGTAAATTAGAGCAGAGCCCTCTCCTCAGGGGGCTCCAGTGTTCAGTCCCTCAATTGAAAGTTCTCACCTCCCAGCACCCCCCCGCCCCTTTCTCCTTCCCCCCGGGTCTTCCAGTGGTTTTCTGAGGGTTCACTAAAGTCCTCGGTACACAAACCCCCCACGGACGCCGACAAGGAACCACCCCCACCCAGCGTCAGGGCTGGCCCCGCCCACCGGGCCCGCCCGCCCTCTTTCCGGTTTAAAACCCGCGGGCTTTCCCTGCCCGGGCCCCGTGACTTCCGGTTGTGTTCTCGCGACAGCCGGGCGGGCCGCGGGAAGTTCGCTCCGCGGCCCTCGTCGGAGCGTGAGGCCCGGTCGGGGGCCCCCTGGCCGGGGCGACAGTACGCAGCCGGGGGGCGCCTCAGTGAAGGGCTTGGCCAGGGGCGCGCCTTCCCGGGGCTCCAGTGCCCACGCGGCGCGGAGCCCGAGGCCCCGCCCTGGGCACCCGGCTGCGGGCAGGCGCGGCCGGCGCCCGAGGTCCTTCCGGGCCGGGTCTGACTAGGCGCCGCCTCGTCCGGGGCCGCGAGGCGCGGGTGCCGCCCCTTCCAATCTGGGCTGCGGGCGGCTGCTGTAAACCGCCGGGGCGGGCGGGGCGGGGCCTGGCAGACCCCCGGCTGGGCGGGCGGGCGAGCCTCCGGGACTGCGCCCCTCCCGCTCCCAGCGCAGAGTGCCACGGTGGCGCGGGTGGCGGCCGCGAGACCGGATTCTTCTGGCCCTGCCAGCCTCGCAGGCCGTAACCTGTAATCCAGCCCCGAGCGTCGCCTGCTGGGGAGGGCCCGGCCCGCCTCTCCCGCCACAGCTAGTCCTGGACCTCTAATCTCCTCCTGCGCGTCTGCGGGCTGACTCACCTGCCGGATGTGGGCCGGGGGGAGGAGGCCTCATGTGGGGCGACAGATGCGAGCGCCGGGTCTCTAGTTGGCGCCTTGATGGGGAGGCTGGATGGACAGACCCGCAGTAGCCCCCAGGAGCCGGCCCTGGGCTGCGGGGAGACGACAGGGGCCGGCCCTGCCCTCCAGGAGCGCTGTCTGGCCAGAGCTCGTCCCGCCTCCGCACCGCGCAGCTGCCTTAGCCCACCCCAGGGGCCATAAAGTCAGATGGGACAAGGCTTAGCTGTGGCACCAACTCGGCTTCCCAGACACCCCACCAGCTTCCTCCCCCACGCCGCCAGCCCCAGCCCCAGTGGTTCTCGCACCCCTCCCCTCTCCCAGCTTGGGTGTCCGATTACGGCTCCTTTGCTCTCACTGTGACTTTGGCCCAGGCTTGGGGGAAGTGGCCCGGAGGGTCCGCAACGGCTGCGGCTGCTGCGTAAAATTGGCAGGCTCAGAACTAGGGGGAGGGTGTGTGTATGTGCGACGCTGAGGGGCGGGGAGAGGGGGCGGTGGAGCTGTTGTGTGAGTCCAAGACCGTGGGCTCTCTGAGAGAGCCTTAAGCCCGAGCAGAGGTGGCGGGGGCTCAGCCCACTGTTCACTGCTTTCTTTCCACGGCCTCATTTTGCGAACTGGAGTCACACTGCTCGAAAGGGCTTAGCCCGCGACACTAGGTGAGCATCCTGGGCCCCAGGACATCACGCTGTTTCCCTACCCAACCCTATCAACAACTCCTGCTTCTGGAGCCACTTACTCCCATCCACCTCTAGGGCAGGAAGCATCAGAGTTGGGTGACGTTGTGGTGATCCTGGTGGTGTGTGTGCGTGCGCGTTTGTATGTGTGCATGTGTTTCTTGAGTTTTATAACTTTTTCCTCTCACCTCTCCCTGACTCTCAAGAATAGCCAAACAGTTGCCACCCAGCATAATGGATGATCTCTAGAGGGTCAGGATACTTTGAGCTGAGGGTTTGCTTGACTTGAGGGTAGCAGGGAAGGGGGTGGTGCTAGGGTCAAGCTTTGGTGCAGGAAACTGTGAGGTTGCTTCTGACCTGACCTGGCTTCCCTCCCTGGCAGGGTGCCACGAACCCGCTGATGCCCCAGTGCTCACAAGGCTTCCAGCTAACTATGCCACCGCCGCCTGCCGCTGCCTTGGCACTGCTGCTGCTGATGGTGCAGACGCGGACGCGCGCGCTCGAGTCCTCGGGCCCAGAGTACCTGCGGCGCGGCTGGCTGCGGCTGCTGGCGGAGGGCGAGGGCTGCGCTACCTGCCGGCAGGAAGAGTGCGCCGTGCCGCTGGGCTGCCTGGCCGGCCGGGTGCGCGATGCGTGTGGCTGCTGTTGGGAATGCGCCAACCTTGAGGGCCAGCTCTGCGACCTGGACCCCAGCGCCCACTTCTACGGGCTTTGCGGCGAGCAGCTGGAGTGCCGGTTGGACGCAGGCGGCGACCTGAGCCGCGGAGAGGTGCCCGAGCCGCTGTGCGTCTGCCGCTCGCAGCGTCCTCTCTGCGGGTCGGACGGCCGCACCTATGCGCAGATCTGCCGCCTGCAGGAGGCGGCTAGCGCTCGGCCCGACGCCAACCTCACGGTGGCACACCCAGGGCCCTGCGAATCGGGTACGCACGGCCCGAGGCCCCTTCCCCCAGCGCTTGGGGTTCGAGGCGCTGATCCCCGAGCCCCAACAACGTTGGTTTTTGGCCAGCTGTGAAAGAGAGGCGCGGGAGGCCTGAGTCCAAAATAGGCATCTGCTCTGGCTGGTCCAAATAAGTCTGAAGGTGTGGGTGTCGCTGGCCGCCTGTGTCCAGCTGGCAGAGACCAACCCTCCGAGGGATCAGGCACAGTGCCAACAGTTGGCCTCAAAATTGAGAGAGTGAAGAGACTCTCAGACTTTGCCCAGACCACAGGAGCCCAGGCAGGGAGACTTGGGTTCCTGTGAGTTGCAGTCGGGTTTCATTTGGGCAGATTCACAAGCTGTTAACCGAGTCTCCCCACCTCCAGGCTTCTCTCCCCCTTTCTGGTCTAAGGGATTAGTGAAGGAGGGGGTGCTTCTAGCTGCTCTCCCCATCCCAGGGGGCTGAGAGCCATTCAAGCCTCAAGTTTCCTTTGGCAACTTTACCAGCCTTCACTTCCTGAGCCCCTTTGAGGAGGTCTGGCTTGGCTGGGGCTGCTGGGAAAACAAAGGCCCTGTGGGGGTCCCATCACTTTCCCCCACTCCTCCAGGCTTTCTGCTGGCTGCCCAGGTCCAGTTTCAGGTATTTGGCCTGTGGATACCTGCAGAGGAGGGATGGGGCAAGGGTGCCTCTTAGGGCCTTTGGGACTGGACCTGGTATAAAAGGAGGAGAAAAGGAGGGAGGGGCTAGTTACAAGCACAGCAGGATAGGGGCCCAGAGGGTGGGATGAGGACAGGGGAGCAGTCAGGGACAGTGGCTGCCAAACCGGAATGCCGTTCAGTGTGCCTGTTTGCGCCCCCTGTCTGCTTGTACTTCTCCATCTCTGCGTTTGTGCCCTTATGTGTGCCTGAACCAATATTTGTATGAACCTGTGTGTGCGTGTGTCATGCTGTGTCCACGAATGTGTGTTTACCTCAGCATGTATTGTGTTCCCTCCCAAACATGATCACAATGGTTCCTGTAAGGGGTCCTTGTTGGGCTGCATGTGCCACGTTGTTCTCAGGCCTCCCACCTCTGCCCCCAGAGCCCCAGATTGTGTCGCACCCATATGACATTTGGAATGTGACGGGGCAGGATGTGATCTTTGGCTGTGAGGTGTTTGCTTATCCCATGGCTTCCATCGAGTGGAGGAAGGACGGCTTGGACATTCAGCTGCCAGGGGATGACCCCCACATCTCTGTGCAGGTAGGGGAAGGGAGCGGAGCCTCCCCAAGGCAGCCCAGGGTCCCCCTAGAAAGGCCCCGCTGATTCCTCCTCTGTCTCCAGTTTAGGGGTGGACCCCAGAGGTTTGAAGTGACCGGCTGGCTGCAGATCCAGGCTGTGCGTCCCAGCGATGAGGGCACCTACCGCTGCCTCGCCCGCAATGCCCTGGGTCAGGTCGAGGCCCCAGCTAGCCTAACAGTGCTCACACCAGGTAAGGGGGAGCCCTGAACTTGGGGGCTGGTGGTGGGTTTGGGCCACAGGCAAGCAGGGCTTTCCCAAAGACAGGGACACATGCACACTGACGCTTTCTTGCTCCTTTTCTCTCCTTCGCCCATGTGTGTTTGCAGAACAGTTGAACTCCACAGGCATCCCCCAGCTGCCATCCCTGCACCTGGTTCCTGGCGAGGAGGCTGAGAGTGAAGAGGGCGAGGATTACTACTAGATCTGGAGCCCTGGCCCATGGGGTGGGTGAGTGGGGATAACGTTCATCCCTGCTTTTGAAAAGACCTGGAAAGGGGGACTGGGCCCCTCCATGGATTGTTTCAATGCCCTTAGTCCAGGGAATTGTGAAGGGAGACAAAAGTTGAAGGGAGGGTAATGAGATAAGCAGAGACTAGGGGAGGTGGGATGTGAAGGGGCCCACGAAGGAGATGCCCTCACTGGGGGAGTCTCCAGAGACCAACCAGGCAGAAGGGAACAACAGATACTGGTGGTTCCTAGTGGGAGTTCCTCTCCCTGCCCTTGCCCCGCCCCCCCCCCCCCCCCACTCCAGGGACTGGAGCAGACACAAAGGTGCAGATACCAGACCCTCCACTTCCTCCTGGCAGGCCTCCCTGCAGCCCTGTTTAGCCAGTTTTCCTAGCTGCCCTTGCCTGCACCTCCTGTGGTTATTTTCCAAATCCCCAATCTTTGTCTCACCTCAGTTTATCATCCCTCAAAACTAACTTCCTAGAAATTTCCTGCTCTCCTAAGTCCCACTTGCCTTTACTGACCACAAGTATGCTTTGCTGTTCCCACCTGCTGTCCAGGAGAGCACGGTGGAAGATGGTTTAGTTCAGTGCAGGAAGATGGGTCATGATCTCCATGGGGCTAGCACCATATTTTATACCAACCACACTATGTAGGAGAGTGCCTGGCATAGAACTGTGCACCGTAGATACTCAATAAAGATTTACGAACAGACAGAGACACCCAGACGCACCACAGGTTCATATAGACATGCACACGGGAACTGCATTTCTTTGGGAGGCTTCCCATGGTAGTCGGACTGTGACTTCGGAAGTTGTAGGTCCTGCTCTCTAAGTTCACGCCTGCTAGCCATACTGGAGGCAGCTTGCGCCGAGGCCTACTCTGTCCTCTAGGGAGGAAGGCTGGAAGCATCTGGTGGAGGCAGGGTGTCCTCCCAGACTGGTCCACAGGGGCTGGCCTAGAGATAGAATAGCCCTGCTGTGCTGTTCATCCCTTGGCTCCCCTCCCCAGGCAGAGTAGGAGCTAGTCTATGGGGATGGAACCCCAGTGTAAGAACAAGCTGGATGAGGGAGGAGGAAGGTTTGGCTACATGTTTGGGCTGCACCCTGAAACCAACCATTTCCCGGCTGAACCCAGACAAAGTCATCGTAAGCCTGTTACCTGCCTGCACTGTGACGTGTCCTACCTGGTCCCTCACAGATCTGCACTCTTTTGCTCCCCAAATCCCTCTCCACACTCTCCTAACCTAGCCCTGGGACACTGGACTAGGTAATTGATTGAAGGAGAAAAGGAAATCTTTAGTCCACAAGCGTAGACCTCAGGAATGGGTGCCAAGGGCATCCTACCCACTTGGGCTCCAGCTGGAGACCCGAGTGCACCGCCCCGGCAGCAGGGAACACAATAGGCTCTGAAGCCTGAGCAGCTTGTTCTCTGGGGCCTATCAGAGGAACCTGGCCTCTAGGGAAGGGTGGGGTCGGGAACCCAAACCTGAGGGCTAGCAGAATCACATGGCTGCTGAAGAGCGCAGCTGATGGCTGGGTCCTGGCTGGAGACCGGCGGCCCCGGCAGATGCACTTGACCACTCAGGGGGGTTGGATACTTGGGGCGATCTCCGAGTCGACCGCGGAAGCCAGAGTGGGGATGTGGTGGGGCGAGGGACACGCGCAGTTCGGCCTCCGGACCTGAAGGAGGTCTGTTCCTGGCGGAAAGAGGGGCCGCGCTCTGGGTCCTTCGGCAGCCTGGGAATCCACCCCAGGCTTGTTCTGGGGAGTGGACTCCCGCCCAACTGGGCTCAGAGGCGCCCCCTGGCGGGCCAATATCTTCTCGCCCACCTGCAGAGCCGAGCGCCACCAAATCCGAGGGGGTCACATGCGCCCCCGGGAACCTGTATTCTTTGATCGCTTTTGCAGACTTTGTGGGATGCTCGGGTACAGCCTCCCCATAACCTCAGATTTCCCCTCCGCGGCCTTGCCGGTTCAGGGCCCGCAGCTTGGAATAGGAGGACCCCTGCTGCTCCCTCCCCCCGCCCCCCCCCTCGGCTCCCGCCGACGGCTTTAATAACGTCGCTGGAAAGTGACACGCGATTTATTATTAAAGTAATGCGGGGACGGGAAAGGTTTAATAAACGCGCTGAGATGCCGAGGATTATTCACCGCAAATAAATGAGAGCGCGGGCGGCGTTTTAATAAATAATTTCCCGCCGCTCCCGGGGGAGGAGCGGGGAGGGGGGAGCGGGCGAGCTCCGGCGGCCGGCGCCTCCCGCGCTGCCCCGCCTCGCCCGCGTTCCCGTGCTGGGCTGCTCTCCTCCACGCGGGAGGCTCCAGGGACTGGCGAGGACAGGCCCCGCCGCTCTTCCTTCTCCCAGCCTCCGGGGCTTTGCCGTGGCTTAAGATAAGCCAGTGCCCGTCCCTCTCGTTAGGAACCCGAGACCCGCAGTCGAGACCCGACCCGGGCCTGAAGGGCTAACCGGCACCAGCCTCTCCCAAATCGAGGGTACCAGGTACTGGGACCCAGACATTCTTCTCCCAGCTTTTGACTGACCCGGACTCGGCGTCCCGCGCCCCTCCATGGGGGGAAGGGTGTGGGGAGCCCGCCAAAACGGGGCGTGAGTACAGGTGTGTGGGTCCCGCCTGTGTGCAAATGACCTTGAATCCCTCCTGGAGGCGTCTCGCGGGATGGGGCCCCTGCGTCTGGCAGCTCCTTCCTACGGAGCCTCTGAGGAAGGGTCTGAGCCCACGGAGTCAGGATGAGGCCCGGTCCTGGCAGGCGGTGAACGGTGTGGATTTGAGAACTAAGCAGACCTGGAACCCCCAAAGGAAACTCCACCTTTTTCGTCAGAGGCCTGTGGGTCGGAGAGGGTGAACCCAGTTTTGGAGAAAGCCGAGACTGCAGACTTTTAGATCAAGGGCATGCTGACGACGATGTGGGTGGGGATGGGCAGGGGAAACACATGGGGTACACCTGGATCGCAAGTTTTGTGCCATGTCGGAAGGAGGCGACACCTCTGGCGACACTTGGGAGCACAGGCAGTGTCAGAGGAGCGCCATCTGGTGGGTATTTCTGGTTGTGACAGTCAGGCCTGGGGCAGGGACCTTGAGATTAAATTTGAGGAAAAAGGTACTTTGATTTGTAGTCATGTATGCATGTGAACATGCACATGAAGGTGTAGTGTGTATGATGTCTGTGTGATAGCTGTAATGTGTATAGCATTCATAGTAGTTATCTGCATGCACGTGCACTTTCACGCACAGCACGTGAGGTGTATGTAGAATGTACACATGGACACCATAACATGTTGTGTGTGGATTGTTTAGATGCATGCACATTCATATGGCTAATTGTGCAGGTTCATGTGTGTTTGTACTCATGAGCACTGCTTCCATGGAAGCATTGCTCTACTGTGTGGAGCTGCATGTATACATTTTTTTGTAAGGATATGCCCCACTGTATGCCAGTCCTCCAAGAGATGTTTCTCATGTCCAACTCTTACAGGGGCTGGGATCCCTCACAGGAAAAAACATCATCCCTGCCCTCGTGGAACTTACTTCCTATTCTAAGGTGTGCCTTTGAATGTGTGTTTCCTTATATTAATTCTCTGTGTGTTTACAGCATATGTGCACTGTATGTGCAACTCTGTGTGTGCGTGAGGGGTAGACAGGCTTAAATACTATGGTGGACTTGGAGAAAACACTTTTTTTTTTTTTTTTGCTTAAAAACTCGATTCCTATCATCTGGGGCTCCTCTATTCTAAGAGGGTGAATGAGGACAGAGGGAAAGCAGCTGGCAACAGTCCAATGTCTCAGGGTCTATTTTGTTGCTCCCTCAGTCCTCTGAATGACTAGACTCTTCGGAGTGAACAGCCACAGAAGTTCACTTACGGCAATGACACACTAGTGAGAATCAAGGCTCACCTTGTAGCTCAGTCAACGCACCTGAAGAGGGGATGATGGTGGGGAATAGTGGGCCCGGGGTCTGGGAGACTGGAGTGAACAGGTTCTCTGAGGGCAGTGATGAGGCCATTAGAGCCTGGGAGGACCATGTCTGATGGGACATGATGGTGTAGTCATGGGAGCTCTGGGATCACCTGTACATAATGGGGTTGGTTTGAGGATTCCTTGGGGTAGAATGGGCTGCTGGGTAAGATTGGGGCCTGCAGGGAGTAATGAGGTTGGGATCTGGGATGGAGTTGGGGAGCAGGTGCAGAGAGAGGCTCTGGTGGTGCAGCCACACTCCTGAGTGTCACCTGGAAGCCAGCTCAGGCGGAATCATCACTCCCTTACTCCATGCTGGGGCCCCATGTGTTCTCTGGGCCTCTCTCTGCTCAAGCTGGGCACTGGATATGTGGGGGGAGAAAAGAGCAGCAGCTCCAGGGTTTGGCCTGGCTTTGGTGACTCACTGTTGGGTGAGGTGAGACAGAGATCTCAACACCACTGTCCCATGAAGCCTCATCCCAGCCACTTGGGGCATTGCCAGCCCAGCTGCCATTACCAGCTTCCATTTGGGCTCAGCCCAAGGAGTTCAGCAAGGGTGGGGCCTAGGCCTGGAAAAGATCACAGAACGCACACACACACTCTCCTGTGACTGAGCTGGTGAAGGTATTCTGAGGCACTTCTTTCTTCCTTCCCCCCTGTGCTAGATGTTTTCCAGATGCGGTGAAGGCCGGTGCCTGCAGGTACCATTCTCACTCTAAGTCTGTGCCAACCCCCCCAGACCTGTCTCCTACCTCATGCTCCTGTACCAGGCCACTTCACCCTAGCACTAAGCTTTCTGTTTTCTCATTGTCTCTTCACCTTCTTTTCTTCCCAGAGATCTTGAGATCTTAGACCCTGGCAGTGGGGGAGGCCTGAAGACACAGGCTGCTTCTCGACCTGGATTGATTGATTGATTGACTGATTGATTTATAAAGATTTATTTTATTTTTATGCATACAAGAGCTGGGGTATAGACCAGAGGTGTGGCAGGGTGAGAGGATTCACCAGAGACAGGGTGGGGAACAGAACAGGCAGATTGACCAAAATACACTGCTGAGGGGCGCAGCGGGCATGCACCATGTGGGTTGCTCCCTGGCCGGCCGGGGATTGAACTCATGCCGCAGTGGCTGCAGTTAGCTGCATAGGTTGCATCTTAAACCCTTGCACCACCAGGGAGGCCCTGGATTCATTTCTGACATGTTCTCTGTCATCTGGGTGATGGGAGGCCCTCTGAATAGGGTGAACAGTTATGAAGATCAATTTTGGTGACAAATATTGCCCTACAATCAAGTCTCACCCTGTCCTCTTGATGGGGAGGAC